TGCCAGTGGATATAGCAGTTGACCTCAGGGAGAGGCCGAATTTGCATCGCTTCTGTAGCCTCTGTGGAGGTGTGAACCCATGGCCCCAGATAGACAATAGTGCTCTTATTAATTCTATACCCGAAACCCAGGTCAGGGAATATAGATGTGGGTTTAGATGGAGGCAGCAGCTATTGGACTTGCGAATCATTTAGAAAAGTGAAGACTTTACGTAGACAGATCAAAGCCACAGAGCATGAAAAAGCAAACCACCAAATATCTATCTTTAGTGCTGGCAAACTTAGTTTTGCTTTTAAGTTTAAAAAAAAAAATATCTTAGGCAATGGAATTCATTCAGATTCTGTTTCATCGCTGTGGTTATGAAAATTAAGTAACTATCCTGATGTGGAGAATGATAGTACTATGAGATAGCTGCTTGATGAATATTTAATGGTTTTGCTACACAGGATTGTCAGCTAAACATTGTATAAAGTAATAGTATTTCACATTGTACAGGTAACTATTGCTGTCACGCAGTAGTTCAAGACTCAGTCAGTGATATCTTATGATGTCTGGTATGAATTCCTAAACAGCATTGCAATAATCTGTAGAAGATGGTTTCATTCAGCATGAAATTGTGAGATATGTTTTTACTTCACAGCATTCATGTGTGTCTATCACAGCTTACAGATCCTTAACGCTTGTAGATCTTCACCATTGTCTGCTAGTTTCACATTTTGACTTTACGAAAATCTATATCCTGGTTATAAACAGAATTATTGTATATTGTTCAAATTAAATATTGTTCGATAGCATATGTTGATCTCATAGCGCTTTTTTTGTAAAAATAAAAGCAGGATCTCTAAATAGTGGCGTGTTCCTCAACTGAAGATAAGTATCTGCTTATATGCAACTCAATTGCAGCGAGTAAATGAAAATTGAAAGCTGTATTACTTGTTTGACTTTCTAGCTCCTCCAGGCTTTTATTGCAACTTCTCTGAATTATCCCACAAAACTTCATTAAAACAACGAATAAATTTCTAGTGGTTCCTGTTCAACTGTGTAACCTAAATTTCCGCTCTCAGAGTATTTTCTGAATATGAATGAGCTTTCAAGTGACTAGTAAACCTATTTTAAGTCTTCATTTGAATAAAGAGCAACCTACATGTTTGAACAAGCGTAGCGTGCATGTGGTTTATATATTAGAAATATTATATAAAAGAAACTGCACACAATGCATGTTCCAACTGCATATATAACATACACCTTGTATATATAAAATATTTATGTATTGTGCGTGTGTATATATATTATTTTTACAAGTGCAAATATAGGACCTGCTCTTCAACTGATTAAGCTCAAAATCTCCATCAAATCGGGCTCTCGGTGATTCCTTAGGCCTCACAAGGGGTCAGTGTCAGACCAGATGTAGAATGTGGCATCCTGAGCCGTAGTCCTCCGAGTAGTTATGAGCTGAGAGCCTCCATCCATCACACACCTCCAGACTTGCTTATTTTTTTCAGGCTTTATTTTTAACTTTTATGTTGCCTTTCAGAGAACAATGCGAGGAGCTTCGTGTACAGTGGATGAAGAAGCATCAGAAGGAATTGTGTGAAGACCGGCTGGCCCAGCTAGCTCTGAAGGAGGAACTGAAAAAGCAACAGGAGAGGGAGGAGCAGATGTTTGCAGAGCTTTGGAAAGAGGATAGGTTGGCTAAGGAAAAGCGAGAGGCGGTGGAGATGCAGAAGTCAGCAGAGCAGAATCGGGAAATCCTGAATGCGCTCAGTGCCCAGGTAGCGGTGCTCAGTGCTCACAAAGAGGAGGCGAAGCGGCTGAAGGAAGAAGAGGCTCGATTGCTGGTAATTTCTGTATCATTCTGATTCAGGGTTGTGTATAAGGCCCTCCTAATGATAGGCTTACTAGACGTTTAGATTAACCCATACCTTATTTGTATCTTCACTGATTCCATTAGTATCTCAGACTGTCCTATTATGCTAAGCCTCTTTTCCGGAGCTGTGGCAAATGCATTCCTGTTCAGAGGGAAATACATCTTTTGAAACTTAGCATTGTAAAGGATTTTGGCATTCAAAGCCTCTCAGAGCCTTTGTGGGAAATGGAAATGTTTTTAAGCTTTTGCCAGACATCTTTTCAATTTTCTTATTTCCAGTTTCCTGTGGGTTAACTTAGAGGGTCTTGTGTCCCAGCTGTAATGCGTAACACCAGATCTCAGACCATGATACGTATGTTTAATCATCACGGTAAGTGCAGTGGGAGGAAGCAGCAGGAGTGTGCTGCTCCCAGAAGGGAAGGCGAGCCAGGAGCTGAAGGTGACAGCAGGGCAGGCAAGTATGCTGTCCTCCCCGACAAGAGTCCCACAGTACCCGAAGGAACAAGCCGAGCAGGTCTGCTGACAGTAACCGGGGTAATCTAACAGTCCAAACTGCTCGGCAGGTCTGTAGTGGTGAAGTCCAAGATGAAGCCAGCAAGTCAAGTCAGCAGGTCTGGATCAGGATCGACCTCGGGCACTGGCGTACCTGCAGCATAGCTCACGTAGGCACCAAGGGCGAGAGACTGAGCCTAACTGCAGCTCCCAAGTGTCTCCTCTCAGCCCTTTCTCACACCGCTCTTTCCCAGCTCTCCGATCCAAGGCTCACGTCGGGGCTGGCTGCGAGCACAGGCAGCCAAGCCCCTGCGGGGAGGTTGCAGAGCCTGTTGGTGCACTCAGGACCCTGACACATACACGAGGATACACGCTTACATGAAAAATCCCAACTGCTTATGCCCCAGCTGACTGAATTTCAGAATCTATGTCCATTTTTCTTTAACATTAGCAAGCAGTGCCTAAGCTTTCTTGCCTATTAGTGCGGGCTGCTGTTGGGCGTCACATCGCGGGAGGTGTTTGGCTACCTTGGCCCAACACTTTTGCTACTACCTTTTTTTTTTTTCCCCCCTCATCTCTCTCCAGTGTAGGCTTGCTGTAGTTGTGCTGGCTTTGGTGGGGCTTGCTAGTTCACAGTGTTGACTTTGTGAGTTATGGGAGACTGGTTCAGACTGAGTCTTCATTTCGCAGCTATTTACATGTAGCAACTGAGTCTGTAGGCACTGGAGACTGATGTTGGCAAGATATATACTCCACTACTTTTTAAAAATAATGACAATAATTAATCTAAAGCTCTGAAAAGCCTGGCTGTAAAACAGTGGAGTGCTTATTCCAAGCTAGACTGTAATGTTTCACTTACTTAAAAACATGCAGAATAAAATTACTTTCTTGTAACAACTTTTAAGGCACTGCCAAACCTCCCAGGCAAAGAACACTTCTACTTAACCGTCCTTTTCAGAAAAATGCTGTCAGAATAGAAGACTTTGTAGCTTCCCCTGAAGACAGCTGCCTTGGGCTCCGTCAAGGAGATAAATTTCTGGTAAAGTGCTTTAGTGTCTGGAAAAAAGCTTTCTTCAAAGGGTCCATAAAGGAGAGTTTCTGTATTGAAAATGGGACATAATCCTTTTTCAGCAGAAGAGGGATGTGACAGATGGCCTCATTACAAGTTTTTCAGTACAGAGCTGACAGCCTATAATGATCAGGGGTTTCATCTGGGTGAAGGACGTGCTATGGACGGCTAAGTGTCTCTGCGTATAATGGTTTCTTCTGGTTGTTGCAATGGAAATAGATTATTTAGGGAAGCAAAACTTGCACCTTTGCCACGATAGACCATATGTGTGCATCAAGATATCTCAGGCTGGATGACAAAACAGAGACAGCAATTTTTGCATTACCTTTTTTAATTAGCTGTTACCTACATTAGCTTCCTTCCTCCCCCTCTGTCTCTTTTTTTCTCCCATAAAGAATTGTGATATCTCGAAGTGATGGAAATCACGTTATTCTGGCTGTAGTCTCACAAGTGCTAGACAAGTTTCTGCTGTAGCACTTTGGTCTTGGCTTGCAGATGGATGGTTGGTAACGATTTCTTTGTACATTTGCGATGTTGTGTCACCCCGTCGTATAAACTTTCACAGAGTAAGCACCATGGATCCCGTCCTCAGCTGCTCCCATACAACTTCACTGACATCAGAATTCAGCCTAAGACATGTGCCAGCTTGCCCAGTAGACTGCTAGCTATTTCCACCTCCTTTCCTTCTTTACTGTTCAAAGTTTTTTGCCTTTCTTAGTGGTTCAAATAATATATACTGAGTTTCAAAGCTGTTTACCAGCTTCTGAAAGTGGATTTGGCCGTTCAGGAAGATAGCAAAGTCAGCTTTGGCTTTGAAACACTGGAAGAGTCAGTGGGTGCTTTATGTCCAGCATAACAAGTTATGCTCCTTGGGAGGTGCAGCTTGTACTTCCGTATGGGGAAGATTAGACACGTTTATGGCAAACCTGCTGATGCGTGTTAGAATATTTATTGACATTACAAAAGAGACATTTCGTTTAAAAACAGGTTAACAAAAACCTGTGTATCTTCAAGACAGCTGAGGCATTGTTTCTGAGACCTGTAGATAAGCTAATGGTGGCCACAGACTGTTTTACAGCTATGAGTGCTTGTAAGCTTATTCAAATGCAGGATGTTCAGGAATTATGCGAAGTTACTTTATTGGTGCTGCTTTGGGATTTCTTTTTCTTGTGGCTAAATAATCTTGGAAATACCTGTACCTGTTCGATCTTGAATATACATTTGCTATTTTTCATTGTTTCTCTCAAGAACTCAACTTTACTGTCCATTTTCCTGTCCTTTCCAATATAAAGCGGAACGGTTTGAAGCCATGGAAATTCAGTAACTGCCCATCAGAATATAAGGATGCAATTACTTTGTGCAGCCTTACGTCCGCTAGAGATGCAGTGCTCTGAACATCCGGCACAGACACAGGACAGATAATACATGCAGAAACAGGAGGAACACATGGCTCTCCTATCGGTTAGTGGTTACGGCTGCGTGTGAAGACTGGGATATAGATCATACGTGCTGCAACAATACCGATTGCTCTAAAGAGATGACTCTGACTATCCACTTGAACTATTTGGAGTACATCAGGCATTCCGGTGTTTTGGTATTGAAGTGCATGTGATAATTAAAGAGAAAAAAATCCTGAATTCTAATGAATGATATGCTAAAATGTTCATGCTTTAACAGGTCTAATGGATGACACTAATTTTCTAATGTCAGTAAGAAAAGCTTTAAATATTTATCTTTGCTCTTCAGTGTTCCAGTTTAACTAATTCTAGTCATCACTTAGTTTGAAGTTATGCAATGATTTTTACAAGCTGGCTGTTTCTACCGTTGTAGGAAGAACAGCAGCAACTGCTTAAGCTAGAAAATGAACAACTTCAGATGGAGAAACTACAGAAACAGAAGGAATGCAGGGATATGTTGCTCAGTGCAGTACAGGACAAGAAGAATCGTCTTAATGAAGAAAAACAAGGTGAACTTGCCCTAGAGATGAAGATCTTAGAAAAATCTCTTCAGGAACCCCAGGAAGACACTGAGGAGAAAACAAAAAGAAAAGTAAGGACTAGAGGTGTTCACTGTGAAGTTGTGGGGCAACACCTCATCTAGACTAATTTTGCGGCCCTTAGTGAACTGCACAGTATAAATGCGATCAGACACAAGCCCTTTTCTCTGAACAAGTTGATTCTTTTGTTGCATAGCCTGTTGCTTCTCCTCCTGCCAGCACTCTACTTCTCTGAAGAAGCCCATTATCCCTTAAAACCTCAGAGTACTTTAAAGCATGCATTGCAATCAGCAGGGCTACCAGCCTAGAAAAAAGAAGAGGGCGCTCAGGAAATCCTGAAATCTTGTCCCTCTGTGCTGATCTCGTTGTGTATAAATCACCCGAGCTGTTTCATCCGTATACTGCATGGACGTAATGGAGGTTAGAAAAACATTTTTTTTGTTTCACGGACCTGATTTATTAAATGTTTGTAACTGCAGAGGAAAGTGAATATTTAACTTATTCTAATTCATTTATACTAAGAAGCGGTTTTAAATCTTTTTAATAGCTGGAAATATAGATGCAAAACCTCACATTAAGTATCTTGGAGATGCCATGAAACCATGGATGTGTCTGTCACTTCCTAAATTTAAAACGAGTAGACGGTCCAACTTCAGGGTGAAAACGGGTCTCAAGGTAACTTAGAGAGAGCAGGGAGCTGCATTCATTACTCTGCTCAGGGTACTTCGAAGCTCGTGTAGGTTAGGTAAGTTGTAAAAACTCACTGTTAGACCTTGGCACAAAATTAGAGGAGGTGATATTTATTATTTTATTGGATCCCAAGGCTTGTAATGCAGGTGATGGTGAGGTAGCCTGGTCAGCTGTGGAAAGTTTGTAAAATGTCTGTGTTGTAGGCAGCTGAGCTGCTATGGGGGAAGGGATCACTCTGTGTTTGTTCTGCTCTTATGCTGTTGTCCAGGCACTGTTGACTGGCCAGGGAGAAGATCCTGCACAGCTCTTTCCCGTAGCAGGGTTTGGGATGGAGCTCTAGGCTCCCAGTTCCCACACTGGCTGCCAACCACCACTTCTCCTCACGTTTTTGAAACGCTTTTTTGAACTCATTTACTCAGATCTGCAAATGTCTGTGTGTTTGCAGCAAGAGCTGTTCAAGGAGCAACAGACTTACCTGGCACACCTGGCTCAACAGCTGGAGGAGGAGAAAGAGCGAGAAAAAGAAGTGGACAAGCTCCTCAAAGAAGAGACGGCGAAGGTTTGGGCCAAGAAGGCTGAGCAAATGCGATTAGAAAAGGAGGCCAGAAAGCAGCTACTGAAAGATGTCCTGGATACAAGACAACTGCAGATGGAGGAGAAGTGTAAGTAATAACAGCTCGCTGTCTGTGCACCAAACCTACCGCATGAATGCAAGTCTTGGCAAAGGCAGAGGCAGTACAACAAACTGCTTTTGGGAAGACCATCTGGCCCAGCATGCACAGGCTTTATGGTTGAGTGGGCAACAATGCTACCGTCTCTGAATCTGCTTCTGAAACTTTACTCCTACAGACATTCCTTACACTAATTTCCCATTGCTATCACCAGAGCAAAGCCTAGTAAAGTAAGGGTTGCATGAGCAAGCAGTCATTATTATTAATTATGTTGTTGTTATTATGAAGTTCTGAATGTGAAATATTTTCTAATCTGAGTGGGTGAAAAACAAATAAGCTGAGAATACACTTGCCATTGTTTGTGTGCCTTTTCAGAAGCAACAAAACTCAGGCTTGCTATTTAGGCTACTTGGCTCGAATACGGTCTCACTGTCCCTTCAAGCTTAGCAGTGCTGTTATCTTCTAAAAGTTTGGTTGTTTGGGTGTTTTTTTCAGTGCAGAGAAATGCAAAGGAGCAGGAAGAACTTGCTCAAGAGAGGAAGTTATTAACTGAAGCAATCACAGAACTCAGACATACAGAAGAAGAAAAATATGCAAGGTATTTTTCTTTTGTGCCATCGGTCCATTTCATGGCAGGGCAATCTTTTAAACTTGGGAGTAGTCGAATTCTCATTTTCAGATAACTCTGAGCGCCGCGTGGGCTTTCTTCTGTTCAGAGAGGCTCTGCCACCATGCAGCCTATCCGCTCCGAACTGCTCAATAGTAGCCCTGTTACATTGCGATCGGTATTAAATCACTGATTCTGATCTCACCATACAAATAATGGTGTTTCATTACATATCCTTGTTTTGGTCTTTTTGGACCATCACGTGACTTACATGGATCGTGTTTATTAAATACATCCCCTCACGCTCTGAGCTGTTATTAGGAGTGACAGAGGTCTGGGGAGGAGGGTTAATGGAAGGTTAGTTCGTTACTTACCTAGGAGAACTAGTGTGTTCAGGCTTATTGCTAAACTCCACCCACACACATCCCTTAAACAATTATATAGTCAGCCACCAGAATACCAGACTACCGCACGTAACCCAGCTGCACTGGGCTCTCCTTACCTTACAGTTCCTCAGGGTGAGAATATAGTTATACGCAGTAGCTGAAACGTTCCTCTGGGTGTCAGGCGAAGCCCAGGGCAAAGGGCCTTATTTCACTTACTCAGTTTCCCTTTTGTACTCCCGCCCTTTCTCCACGCCTGTCCATGGGAGGTAACTGAGTAGTTCCTTCCAGAGCCGGTATCTGTTGTGTTCTCCGACGGCTTTATTGGTAACAATCTCCTGGATGTGGCAGAAATCTCACCCTTCTGAGGGAAACGTGTCGGGCGTCGTTTTGGATGTGCTTCACTTGGCAAAGATGGTGTTCAGTGGTGTCAGTAAGTGCTGCGTGGTTCAACTGCGTGGCGTTAGCGCACAGGTCTTGACTAGACTGTTGGCGTTTTAAGCGTCTGTGTGCCTGAGCACGTAGGTAGGCTTCCACTGCTGCTCCAGAGGGTAGTGAAAGTGTGAGTCTCGAGGTAGAATGGAAGAATGATTTCTTCTGACAGCCATTTCCTAGAATATTAGTACAAGGCCGCAGCAGGAGCCTGCACCCTGCCTTCCCCGTTGGCAGTCGCTTGTTATCTTCGGAATGAGCGAGTGGAGATGGGGTGTAAGGCTGCCGCAGCAGTGAGCCTGAGCTAGCGAAGAGTCGGCTGGGACCTGACACTCTCATTCTCTGTCCTCTCAGTGTCGCGGTGAGGGGCAGGGAAGGCGTGCTGATTACAGGGGGTTGTTCTTGCTCTTTTTTTTTTTCTGTTAAGCACTGATTTTGCAATCTGCTTTATAACATATGACAGAATGCAGTTCATTCTCCAACGAATGTAAGGTTAGCATGTAGCTTTTCGTTAGAGTGGTAGTTACTCTTAACACCTAAAACGAGTTTTGAATGGTTCTTTGGTCTAAGGTTGAATGCTAGCAGATTAAATAATAATAAAGAAGTTGTTTGTTTTTTTTTTTACCCACACTTCATAAATAAGCTATTCATATGTCATTTCCAGAAGAGTAAAGGAAGCAAAAGAATACCAAGAGCAGCTCCGGGCTCAAATTGCCTATCGACAACAGGCCCGTGATGCTGAGGAAGAAGAGAAGCAGCGAGAATATGAATCGGGTCTAGCAGCGGAGAGAGCTTACCAAGAAAGAGTACAGGACATTCTATCAAGGCCTTGTGAGAAACTAGCCAAGACCCACCCTTTGAGAAGAAAACTAATGTCTAACACTCAAGAAGATAAAGTACAATGATTTATTTTTTAGCTCACTTGGTTGCCTTAAAAAAAATACTTTCTAAGGGTGTTTATAACTGACTGGAGCTAGTGGACCCCTCTCCGTTGTGATGCTCAAAATATTTAACTGGCAAATAGAAGACACATCGTATTTTTTCAAGGTTATTTTTTTCCCTATTGCATTTTCTTTGACAAAATGACTGATCCAAATCAAAGTGTTTGACATTTTAATACAAGAATACTGTATGTTCTCTGCAGTAATGTATTATTATGTTACGAATGATATGCAGGCATTCTTTAAATATGCACAAAGAAAACTTTGTAGAAGTGTTTCAGCAAACTTTTATTAAAATGCCTTTCAAACTGCAAATATTTGCAAATCCTTTTTTGTATTTAGACAAAATGTACTTTGTGACTCATCTTCATTTTCCTTGTTCAATATAAAACTATGAATCTATTTTACTATAGGCTAGGCAGTAAAGAGCCGATATTGCTTTGCATATATTCTGATAGCTGTTGAATGATCTGTGGGATATCAGAGTCCCAAAGCTAGTCTGCGAGGCCTTGGCTTGGACAGATTTAATTGTGCAGGACCGAAGTCATCTTTTTCTTGCAGAAAGGGTTTTTATTTATCACGTTGGTGGCAACTCTGCCTCTTTGGACTGCCTTGGATTGCCACCAACGCCATAGTCTGACCACACGGGATGGGGGGGGCGGGGCGGCAGAGCACCAACAATCTTTTAAGACAGAGCAATATAAAATGTGGCCAGATGGCAGCAGGAAGGTCTCGAAAGGGTTTTGGCGGTGGGGAGAAGGGACACCTCCTCACTGCTCTCTCAGCCCCCCATGTTAATGTCCAGGTTGCCCTTTATGCAGGAGGAGCAGTGGGTGGCACAAGGAGGACAGGTGGGAGCAATCCTGCTTCTCCCCACGGCATTGCCCTCGACCAGCTCCCTGGTCTGTATTTCATTAGCTTCTCCTCTGTGCTTTTCAGAGGAGGAAAGTGAAGAACCCATTTATGACCTCATGTCCTTTCTTGCTCATAGACGTTGCGGCATTCGGAAATCTCCTTTCTCATGTTTTTTCCATTTGAGCCTTTGCTGCTGCTTATCTGCAGATGTTTCTCTCTCTTCTTTCAAGCTTCTACCATCTTTCCTCCAGCCCCTCTTTTCCACCCTTTTCCTCTCCAACTTCCATCCCTCGCTAAGCACTTCCTCCTTCCTTCCCCTTTCAGTGTTTGGCTCCCTGTTGGCGAGTACCAGGACTCTCGTCTTTGTGTCGTGTGGGAGCGTGAACGGATGCACGGAGCAGCTGATAAACGGCTGGGACTGGAGCCCCAGCTCCCAGGCCTTGGAATGAATCGGGAATGAACTGCTTGCGCAGTCCGCCTCATCTTCCTGGTTTAAAGCAGACACCAAGCTGACAAACGCTTTTTGTCAGCCGTACAGCTCTTTGCAAAAGGCCAGGGAGAGAAATATTAATCTGAAACGGTATCGGTGATCTTAGCAGAGCAACCTAGCTAATTATGGGTGTGAATGGTGGAAGAAGCCTGGAGAAAAGGAGGCTGAGGGGGGGACCTCATCGCTCTCTACAACTACCTGAAAGGAGGCTGTAGCGAGGTGGGGGTCGGTCTCTTCTCCCAAGTAACTGGCGAAAGGACGAGAGGAAATGGCCTCAAGTTGCGCCAGGGGAGGTTTAGATTGGACGTGAGGAAACATTTCTTTACTGAAAGAGTGGTTAAACATTGGAACAGGCTGCCCAGGGAAGTGGTTGAGTCACCATCCCTGGAGGTATTTAAAAGACGGGTAGATGAGGCGCTGAGGGACATGGTTTAGTGGGCATGGGGGTGTTGGGTTGACGGTTGGACTCGATGATCTTGGAGGTCTCTTCCAACCTTAATGATTCTATGATTCTATTCTATGATTCTAAGAACCTGGCCCTAAAATGTTGCCCTGCTGAGGGGCACAGCACCGACTGCGGTGAGGTTTTATCCTCGCTTACACACAAAACTTCTCTGAGATGAGCTTCCCGAGACAGCAGATGGAAGAGGGACAAGTTCACACCATCCAGACAGGTGACTAGAGAGAGCAGAGCCTCTTCATGTCTTGTTCCTTGAATCACTTGTATCCAAACAGGGTCTGTCTCCTGCAGGCGTAGAGGAAGGAAATGTTCATAAATGTGAAAACGCTGCAGAGCGGGAGAGGTGGGTTGTTAGTCGGGACGTCTAGCCCTCACACGGTGCCTTTCAGCAGCCATCTCCAAAGCCACACAGAGGACTTCGGAGCCGCTCCTCCTATTTTGCAGCTGGGAAAGGCCATCCCAGGTAATGGAAACAGTTTCATCAGTCCCGAGAGCTCAGGTAGTCACAGGTCTCTGCTCTCACCGCTGGGTCAAATTGGCAGAATGATTAAGAGATTAATTTCCTGGTCTGCCACAGACTCCTGGTGTGGCCCTGCGCAAGCAATGCAGATTTTTTTTTTTCTTTACTACTGTGACCCCTCTTTGAAAAATGAACATAATAGCACATTCAGAATTCCAGGATTAATTAAAGCGTGTTATTAAAGGCTGTGACACTGTCGTTGGGTACACCCAATATGAGAGACGAAAAATACCACATAGGTGATCTCGGTGAATTTGAGCCGTCCAGAACCATAATAAATCTTTTTTAAAATAAAATAATAACTCAGAAGAGGTGGTCAGAGCTATCAAGCATTTGTAAAGCGCCTGAGCTCCTGCTCCTGGAGGCAAAATTCCTCTGCAATGAACGTGAAGTCTGCACAAAAATAAAAGCTCAGACTGGAAGAGGTTTGCCTTCAGCAGAAATTAATTCCCCTGGGATAACGGGCAACCAAACTCTTCTGAGAGAAAACTGGTGGTCGATGAACATGTTTCTGGGGCTGACCCCTTTGCTGCCGAGTGCTTTGTAGACCTCACGTTGGTCTAGAAGAACGGATAAGGCTCATACCGGCCTGCTGAGCGGCTGGGTGGGTCAGCAGACTCCTTTGGAAGCATCTTCTCCATGCCCCTAAGTAAGAACGATTTTCTGTGTCAAGACTGAAGAGTTTCCTTAATTGTGGTATTTCCCCCGAGCGTTTGAGGGATCCTGGAGCCAAACCATCTATTAACCGGGAGCGCAGGGACACCACTGAGAAGTGAAGCAGCCTGGTCCGTGGCTGGGTGACCTCTCCCTGCACCAGGGGTGTGCGCAACCTGGAGATGAAACCACTGGCATTTAAAAACCAGGCAGTTACAGCCTCTTCATTTATACAGGTACTAGAGCTTTGCAAAATTTGCTTTCCTGTATTTTTTATTACGTTCTTCATGTTGACGGAGCAAGAGCGGAGGCGTAGAGCGTGTTGGTGATTTGCCTGTGGCAGAGCCGGGAATGGCTTGTCGCCCATCACATCTTCCCAGACCCACTCCAAGGTTTGAACCCCCGGCACTTGTCAAGGCTTTAAGACTTTTCTGCACCCACCCATCTGCTCATAAGGGCTTTTATGCTGACCCCAGGACTTTCCACGGTGATGCTTTTGGCCACGCATGAGGCATTGAGCTGGGGAGCGGTTCCTGGTGCCCTGTGGCACGGTGCTGGCTTGGTTGCCGCTCCCCGGGGCTGAGCTGCAGGCTCCGGGGGCTGTGGGAGCGCTTTCGGGGCTGCAGGCTCGCTGCAAAGCCACATCCAGCTTTAGACAGAATCAGTTTTATTTGCAGCAAAATCCTTCTTTGTTAATTATTTATTGCTTTAACACCGTGATTAATTTTTCATTACTTCAACACAGGTAGGAACGCTTGCTGCAGAAACAGCCTGTGCAACCATGCCCAGGGTACGGTGACACCGCAGCCCCAGCCAGGCCCGAGGGTAGTGCCCACGTGTAGCTCGTGGTGACTTCTTCACAGCCCAGGAGGAGGGAAGTCCAGCTTCGAGGTCCTTGGGACAACTCTGCATGCAAAAAGTCAGGACCTGGGGTTGCATTTAGCAACAGTCAACTCCGTCCTGATGACGTTTGGAGCTGTCAGAATTGATGCTCCATATTTTTGCATTACCTGCTACCGTGCCCCGCACAGGCGGTGTCACGTACAAGAGACGAAAGCACAAGCCTTTCCCTGCAAACCTTAATACACGTGCAGGGAGTTTAAAGTACTTTGAACTGTGCAGATATTGCCCCTAATTTTGAGGAATGAGGTTGACTCAGCTCTCGTTTTACCCCGGCCACCTGCGCTCTGAGCAGTAGATCCTGCTCCAAAGTATTTCCGTGGAGGATTTCAGGATGGGGTTACCGGTGTTGATGTACTGCTCGTGCGTTGAAATTCAACGCTGTAACTGTAGTTTGGGGGTCAGGGGATTTCACTGCGGAAACGCTGGTTTCTACTGCCCGTCTGAATTCAATGGCAAACTCACCTTCGCTCCTCTGCCTAAATAAAACCCCAAAGCTGACGTGGAATGATGGGGTGCCTGTTGCAGAGCAGATAACTCTGTTCCTAACCTCAAGTGCCAACCCCAGCACCCTGCCCGCCTCGCCGAGCCCTCCAGAGCCCCTCGCCGCTCCGTGCCATCATCTCTCCGTCCATCCATCTGTCCCTGGGGTCTCCATGTCTCATTGCAACACAGGGACAAGGCTGGGACCTGTGAGCATCTGGGGGAGCGCACACAACTCCAGCACCCGTCCTGCACTTGCAAGGAAGCCACTGGCTCTGCTTAGAGGGGAAAAAAACCCTGGTATTTGGTTCATTTTCACCTCTAAGTGCCTTCGACGTGAATGCAAGAGGTGGTACCACAAAATGCTATTTAAGAGCCAGTGCTCGTTAAATATTATGATCAACACAAGTTTTGATTCCCAAATGGAAAGAAATTTCCGTCTCCTGAAGGAGACAATTTCCAGCAACTCAGCACTTAGGACACGCTTCAGGGATTTTGTATGTATTTTGGGGTTTTTATTTTCTAACTTTAATTAAAGTTTTAGATTATGATAAATTTGATGGAAAAATCACACGCGGCACCAGCTGGTATTTCATGGGAAC